TTCTGCGCTCTCATTGACACAGAATAGATCATTTAGGAGGCGGGGAAGCTTAGGACCCTTCCCGTCAGGGGCAAGTCGAGCTGAGATGAATACAACATCCCAGCAGAATGACCGAGATACTCGATAAAATAATCTCTCCCCTCAGGAATAGAACTGGGGTCTCCTGCTTGCGACAGCGAAGCGCCTTTAACCCGCTTTTGCTTTACCACAAACAGGCCTTATACCCGCTTTTGCTTTACCACAAACAGGCCTTATACCCGCTTTTGCTTTACCACAAACAGGCCTTATACCCGCTTTTGCTTTACCACAAACATGTCCATTACACGGTTATTGTCTGACACTGACATGGCTGTGAGGCAGGAGGTCTCGAACACGACCGCCCCCGCCCCACCCCTCCCCTCTCATTCCCTGAAGTTTGAATTTTGAGTTTCAAATGATTGCACAAATATTTTAAGCCAATTTGAATTGTTTAAAAGACAAACTCAACACGCGCTGAACGGGATATAGTGTCATTGTAGAAAGATGGAAATACTATTTTATAAAACAGACGTTCTCACCAGTGGCGGCTCGTGGTTTATAGAACTGACTGGCCATCATTCACATAAACTCTTTCTTACTCCCCCCACCCCCTTCCTTCACCACACACACACACACACACACACACACACACACACACACACACACACGCACGCACACACACGCACACATTCAGTTGCCAATAACCACAACGCAACACACTGCTCTTGACAACCAAGGTTAACGAGACTGGGTTTACACCAAGTGGCCTTTACCTTTAACGTCAACCTGACCGAGATTCTCGTGCGAACCGCAGCGATTGACCACTTGACCACAGGCTAACAAAGAATGTTGTGAGTTGTCCACTTGTCACATACAGACATTAGAAGAAGCCTGTTCTGGCTAACTGCGATTCGAATGCAAAAAATAGGGTTTTCCAACTTTAGGTTTGTCCTTTAAATTTGGTGTTGTTGTTGTTGTTGTTGTTGTTGATGATGATGATTATGATGATGATTATGATGATGATGATGATGATGATGATGATGATGATGATGATGATGATGATGATGATGATGATGAAATGGATGGGAGGAGCCGGAGAAGGAGGATGG